TCACAATTTGCTTCACAAGCCCAAAGAAACTGCTCAGAATGGGCTCGGCGGGCCATAGCCGGATAATCAAATCCTTCATGGCTAGTTCGGCCGCCTGATGCAGTTCGACCAGCTGCTTCAGCTGGTCGACAAATGGCATCGGATAATTCGGGGCCAAATACTGCGACCAAAAGAGCTTCTCCGCAGTCTTCTTCTCCTCAGCTCGATAGAATTGGGCAGCATCAGATATGTTGTGCAGCAGATCCGCAGACGCCCCTGGAGAAATCAAGATTCAATGGGTCACCCTGAATTTTTCCTGCTACCGCATATAAATCGCTTTGAATAAGAAAAAGCCTTACCAGCCGCAATCTTCCTCGCCTCCTGAATATCCTTCAGATCAGCTTGGGCTTCCTCCCGAGCATCATTTGCAGCTTGGAGAGCTTGGACAAGTTCGGATTCTTTCAATGATAGACTTTGCTCCAAAGTCTCGCTTTTCTTCACGGGCTCGTGAAGCTCTCATTCAACTTCAATGACCCTGGCCTCATGCTTCTCGTGGAGAGCTTGCTCCGCGGCTGCCTTCTTTTCGGCCGAGGCAACAGCCTTCTTGAGCGCCTCAATTTTGGCATTCGCCCCTAGAGTGCGCAATATAAATGCTTTAATCAGGCACAACTACTTATTTGTGCTAAAACTTAATAAGGTTTCAACATACCCTGTTTATCCTCCAACTGCTTCTTTACTCGACCAAGTTCTTCTTCGGCCCGCTCCAGATTCTTCTTAAGTCTGGACACTTCCACAGTATGAGAGGAGGCAGTCGCTGCAGACGCCTGTTCATAAAGAAAGAGATATATGTCATTAGCTGAGTCTCCCGCGGACGAAAATTTGATCCGCTGTCCGGTTCCCTTCCTCACCGAACAGTGTATCAGGGGCTACTATCCATACTATGACAGTCTTCTAAAAACTCCTAAAACATACCTCCAAGCCTTTTATAAGGCTGATGCAGGATTCATTCAGTCCGCTCTCAGCGGCCTGAATCTTTTCTATCACCGCGCCCATAAGGGCGCGATGTTCATCGATGATGGGAGCGCTCTTCTGCGCTTTCGATAAGCTGCCCGACACCTCTGGATGGACAGAGGTCGCAGGTGAAGTAGGACCGCCCCCTCCAGTCAAGAGGGGCTACCTGCCTGATCCCGGAGCCTCAAGGGTCTCCGGGGACTGTGTCCGACTGTGGGCCGAATCCAAGATCGCCCCCGCCATCGACATTCATGGGAACCGCTCCTCCCGTGTGTCCGGCCCCTGAGGTACGCCCCCCTGGTCGAGGTCCTTTTGGGACGACACCTCGATGTCACAACCAGGCTTCGGGGAAGGGGCCCACGGAGGTGTCTCGCTCTCTAAGGCATTGGAGCTCAATGAATCCTCTGATGAGGACTGTTCGGCGGGAGACCTTGCCGGACTGCAAAAAGTTCGGTGCAAATCAAAATATTACACTTTAGTAATCCTGGATGCATGGACATGTTCGAATTTCATGCACTTACGAGTTTATCAGGGGCTGGGCCCTGGGATCCCACTCCGGACTGCTGTTGGTAGCCGTGGTGGACACCTCTAGGATGGGTGTTCTTCTCCTCTTGGGAGAATCAACCTCTAGGGATGAGGAGGCTGTCCTTTTCTTCCCTCCCCCCGTAGGGGACTCTTCCTCTTCCTCCTCATACTCTTAGGAGGAAGGATGGTCACTGGAGTCTTCGGACTTTGTGTCCGAGGCACCGCGACGACGGAGGCTGCTCCTGGTCTCCTTGGCCTCTTTGTTGGCCTCTTTCTTCGGCGCCTCGTACGGTGCTGGGACCAGCATCTTCGTCAAAAGTGGTCCTGCCGGTTCTTCCAGCAGTGGGGCTGGATAGTGTATCCGCCCCGTCTTCTTCGTCCATCCCTAAGATAATTGTTGAAAAGCACGTTAAAACATCTCCCTCGGGACATGCCAATGAAACATGCAGATGACCAAGACGTAATGATGACTTACCGGACTTGCGGGGCGAGACAGTTGGTACCCGCGGTCCACGGCGGAGTCCGGCCACGGTTTGCCGGACTTAAAAAGCACCTTCCAAATATCCTTGTGTGAGGAGCCGAAAAGCTCTCGCAGGGTCTGGTGCTCGGACGGGTCATACTCCCACAAATTACAGCTTCTGTGCTGACAAGGAAGAACCAGGTGGACCAGCATCACCTGGACTACGTCAACAAGTTTGATGGCCTTGTCTTCCATACCTTTGACGCGTGTCTGGATCACCGACAGTTCGTCGGACGACGACCAGTTCAAGCCCTTCTTGGGCCAGGACGTGAGTCGCAAAGGGGCTCCAGATCGAAACTCAGGAGCAGCGGCCCATTTTTTGCCGCGTGGCTCAGTGATGTAGAACCACTGCTGCTGCCACTCCTTGACGGAATCGTTGAAAGTACCCGTCGGCCATGTGACCTTGGGCATCCTGCTCACCATGGCGCCTCCGCACTCGGCGTGCTCGCCGTTCACCACCTTGGGCTTTACGTTGAAGATCTTCAGCCATAGTCCGAAGTGTGGCGAGATGCGGAGGAAGGCCTCGCACACGATGATAAACGTCGAGATGTTGAGGAAGGAATTGGAGGATAGATCGTGAAAGTCGATCCCGTAGTAATACATGAGCCGCGAACAAATGGGTGAAGGGGAAACCCAAGCCCGCGGACGAAATGGGGGAGGAAAACGACCCTCTCATGGGGCTCCGGAGTAGGGACAATCTGTCCCGCCTTCGGAAGACGGTGGCCGATTTTCTTGGCCAGGTACCCGGCCTCCCGAAGTTTTTTAATATCCTTCTCCTAGACGGAAGAGGCCATCCACTTGCCTCCTGCTCCGGATCCGGACATTTTCGAAGAACCTTTGTTGGTGGGGAAGATGAACGCTTGGGCGCTAGGGCTCGGGCGAAAGGAAAGGGACGAGCATAAGAAGAAGAAGGCGTGGGTAGAAAGGAAAAGGCCTTTCCTCTTTATAGAGGCGATGAAACTTTGTGCCTCCCTGCTTGCCTAATGAAACCTGCTCGTCCTCCACTCACAGCGATTGGTGGTGCGGTTGGGTTACCCACGCCCGTATTAAAGAGAATCCCGCGATAAGGGGGGACGATCTCTGCTTCGATAAGACATGCCAAGGAAACCGCCTCGCAACATGCGCAGTAGCTGGTTGTAAACAACAGTTCGAATAATGGTCGGGCCGTGGCGTGATGTCTTGCTACGAAGAATTGTCAGCAGATTAGATTTGTGGATTATTGTTCTCTCTACGGTGGTACGTGAAAATTGTCTTGCAGAGCCGAACACGACTCAAGTGTTCGAAGATTATTTTGGAGTATTCGGAGATGGAACCCGCCTTGCAATGCCGAAGACAATCTGCGCGCTGGACTCATCGTCATTGAAGCCTGGTTCAGGGGCTACTGAGGGAGTCCTGGATAAGGGGGTATCCGGACAACCGGACTATATGCTTTGGCCGGACTGTTGGACTATGAAGATACAAGATTGAAGACTTCGTCCCGTGTCCGGATGAGACTCTCCTTTGTGTGGAAGGCAAGCTTGGCGATTCGGATGATAGATCTCCTTCTTTGTAACCGACTCTGTGTAACCCTAGCCCCCTCCGGTGTTTATATAAACCGGAGGGTTTAGTCCGTAGGACGAACAACACAATCATAATCATAGGCTAGCTTCTAGGGTTTAGTCTCTACGATCTCGTGGTAGATCAACTCTTGTAATACTCATATCATCAAAATCAATCAAGCAGGAAGTAGGGTATTACCTCCATCGAGAGGGCCCGAACCTGGGTAAACATCGTGTCCCCAGTCTCCGGTTACCATTAGCTTGAGACGCACAGTTCGGGACCCCCTACCCGAGATCCGCCGATTTTGACACCGACAACAGCCTCCTCTCTTCCCCATCCTTCTCATCTGAAAATCGTCAGAAATACACATGATTCGTTAGACGCGAGCCACCGCACCTCGCCAACTCCCCCGCTCTCTTCCGCATCAGAGAGAGAAGAGGAAGGGACCGGAGCACGCACTTGAGAGAAAAATAATAATAGGATTGAGGTGGGATGCAGTGGGTGGTTCAGACGTGGAACACTTTAAATGAGAGCCAGAGAGTATGGAGTGAAAAGCTAGGACATCGAACTATCTCAAAATGTGACGTTGCCACCCTCTTGGTCAATATTCGTGCGAACAATCCAACGGTTATTACAACATTCATCCCAAAATACTTAAAATGTGACGTTAGATTTTTCTTGATTACGAAACTACTACTCCCTCCGTTCGGAATTACTTGACACAAAAATGAATAAAAATAAATGTATCTACAACTAAAATACATTTAGATACATTATTTTTTGAACGAGTAATTCTGAATGGAGGAAGTACATAAATACGGGTTCTAACACTTTTAATTGATTTTTTAATTGTAATTTGGTCTCCACGCCGGCCAGCAGCTGTATCTCCTCGTCGGTATCGACGCCGTAGGGTGCACGTCTCTGCAGTCCACACCTCACATATTTTGACGAGCTCGTCGTCCCGCTCGCTCGCTCGCTCGCGGACAGTCGTCAGCCGCGACAAGGACGCCAACCCACCCTGCCATCCGTCATCCACTCCGCCCGTCCCTCCCATCCCCACCAACC